GTGTGCCTCTACAGGGACTGGAGGGCCCACTAATGCAACATCCCTCAGATGTGTCAGCTTCCTCTCTCTGACCTCTGCCCGTCACTCTCTCACTGTCACATTGACCGCAGAGTAGAAAAGCAGAGGATGAGTGGAGGCAGGTGTTTGCTTGCCTTCTACTTCCCATCACATGTTTTCTTAGGCTTTATTAGGTGAAGCGGGGGATACAGAAGGAGTGTGAGAATTTAATGGTGTGAGGGAGCACGACCGAGATGGGGCGTGAATTAGTTTGAGGTCGTGGTGTATAAGATTCTGCTGCAGTGCTTTCACACATGAGCCTTCACTGCAGAATCCAACCATGATGTCATCTTTCCCTTTCATCTGTCTCTCTCTGAATCCCTCAAGCTGTGGAAGGAGGAGTTTATTTCAGTCATGATGTAAAGTGAGAGGATCTTATTAGATGTAGAGAGGGCTGGAGAAGACGGGGAAAAAGAAACGGAAGAGTACTTAGTGTTTGGAATATGAAAACCCAGCTGCTGTGACACTGTGAAGAAGCAGCAGCAGATCATTTCACCTCTGAAGTCATGAAAGAGTATCTAAACTTTAAGTAATCCAAAAGATAATTTGTACCTTCTGCAAAATCCAGTTTTCAACTGAAATGTAATTAATGACCTCAGTGAATATTTAGTTGTCCTTCTCCGGAAGAAGTGACAATTAGTCAATTGATTTATTAGCTGATCGATTAAACAATGTTGATGATGGATTAACAAGTTTATCACTTTTTCTTCTGTTTCCCAAACATGAGAGATTTGTAGCTTATTTCCAATTTATTTTATATTTTGTTATATGAATAGAACAAAAAAAGATCGTATCACTTTATTAGCAACGTTCGGTCTTCCCACCCTCATTAGGTGAAATTCATATAGACAAACAGAACTGGTACCATATACAAACATTATATGAATGGTCATATGAAGGTCTGAGGATGAAATGTCATTAATTAAGTATTTTTTTTCCATAGTCAGACTTTTTTAGTGGACACACCTATTAATTAAACTTAATATTACACTTACAGACAGGTGACAAGTTAAAGGAAAAATTTGAATTAATAAATGGAGAAATGTGGCAAATGCAGATGCTTTCAAACAGGACATGATGTCATTGAATGGTTTGATGAGAATGAGAATGATGTGAATCAATCGAACCCCCATTGGGGAGAGGAGAAGGTTCCAGAGACTAGGAGGTTTGTGTTGGTTTTTCCTTTAAATGGTCACCCATCTGTACATAAAGTGTACCAGCCTGGACAACAATAGCAGCTGCAGCAGTGGCTCACAGAGACAATTAGAATACTTGGAAAGGAAAACGAAGCATTTTTTTTATCATTAGACCCTCCCTGCTGTGTCTTTCAAACTCCACGTCCAAAGTTTATGCAGGCCTTGTGTTAGAAATGTGTATTCTCCAAGCACAACCTGAGATGTTGACATCATTAGGGTTATTTTCTAAGGCTCTAGTAGTCCCAAAAACCAACCGTCCTCTGTGTGTGTGTGTGTGTGGGTGTGTGTGCCCAATGTCTGTCAGAGAGACCCGAGTCCAACTGTCCAAAATGTGCGAAAGGGTCTGCACACACGCAGATAAATCCATTTCACATGTTTCTATGTTTATTCTATGTTTTCTATGTTTATATTCCATGTGCGTGTGTGCTTTCTACTGCTGTCTGTAGGTCTGTATATGTGTGTGTCTGCCCTCATAATGAGTGCCTGGACAGAGCGGCAGAATACTGCAGCTCGCCTTCTTGCATCTCCAAACTTCAAAAAGATGACTGTTATGTAATTCAGGCAGTCTTCCTGTCAGATTGACAGCTTTTTGATTTTTCCCTCCACAAGTTGTGACTGAGGTTTTACAGGCCTGAGGGACGTGAATCTTGCGCTGGCCTCGAAAAAAACACAGAGTTCAACTCCGAACATGGCACTCACCAGAACTGGATCTGTGAGGGTTTTTTTCTGTGATGTCAGCAATAGAGAGAATATAAAATATCCGAGGGAGAGAGAGTAAGAGAGAACACACAAAAAAGGGACTGTGGAAGTCAGAGAGAGAGAGGGAAACAGTCGGATAGAGAGGAAGATGAAGACAGAGGTGCCAGTGATTGGACAGAGGAAGGTGAGAGTGTCCCTAGTTCTCTCTGATGTCCACGTTTAGTCCCTGACGGAGCCGCCCCCCTCCTCCCTCTCTCTTTCCACCCACAAGCTAAACACATCACATTCACACTTTGATGAAATAAACACACACACAGGAGGGGGATGAGTTAGCCGCTGCTACTGCAGCTCCCCTGGAGAAAAACTGTTTTTGAGTTGTGTATGTGTGTGTGAGTGTGCATGTGTGTGAATGTATGTTTTCTGTGCAGTGGAAAGCTGAACAGCAGAAGCACAGCACAACCTAGTGGCAGCAAGAAAAAGAGCCTGGGGGATTAAAATGACTGGTAATGATGATGTTTCTGAGAATGGGGATCTCGAAAGATAAAAGATAGATTTTAAAGAATTCAAATTCAAAATACTATCAAAACTATAACTCATTTGACACTAGTGGCCAAAAAATGGCATTAACAGTTACACATGTACCTTATATTTGTATTCTCATCCTAAATCTCACTGTTTTCTGTCCATCATAAGTCCGACAATCTAATAGTCGTGCAATGCTAAAGCGGTGAAGTACTCTTCGCTCATTTCAACTTGTTGAATAAGATGAGTTTATGTGCGCATTTGTGTGATCTGGTCATCAGCATTACTGCCGTTACCAAATTGCTTTATGAGGCTACCTGATTTGCTTCATTTGTTTCATTCACTGAAATATCACCCAAAAGCAAACAGAGAAACTATACAGTGCGGTGGTCAAAAATCAGCAGACAGAAACATAACAAAAAAAGCCTACAAAATAAGCTGCCAACACTGCATCATCACTGAGCCGTCCCTTGCCAGAAAGAATGGTTTGACATGAAGTTATGTACCAAAAAATGTCTTGCTAGTTGCTAAAGTGAAGTGGTCCATGCTTTAATTCCATTCCATTATAGTGTAGGTGATGTTACACTGTTGGGTGCAACAGAGGATGGTCACCTGGACAGTGAGTTGCATAAAGACCCTGAGGCAGCTGTTGGTGTGAGAGAACGACAGAACTGTTGGAGCTGTCACACCAAAATACTCTCAGTAAACAGGCAAACCATAACGGGTATCTTACTGATATGGTGAACAGAATAGTTTCAATTTTAGTTTAGTATACTTAGTAACATAGGCAATTCTGCCAACTCCAGGCATTAGAATTCTTAAATCAAACACTCAATACATTGAAGAAAGGCAGACTGTGTGCATAACTTGTCAAACTACTTCTTGACAGGAGTTTCATGACTTTACCCAAGACAGGGTTTCATCATTTCGCAGAGAAATCCATCTGTTTCTATGCCCTGTTTTATTAAGTCTCAGGATTTAGTGGCAAGTTGCAGATTGCAACCATTTGAATAAAGCTCTTCAAAGCATGTAGGAGCCAGCGTTTAGTTTGTCCGTTCTTGGCTACTGTAGAAACATGGCGGTTCAACATGGCGGACTCCGCAGAAGAGGACATAGTCCCTCTGTATATAAAAACTGCTCATTCTAAGATAACAAAATCACAATGATTCTGATTTTCAGGTGATTATAAACTAATGAAAACATACCTATGAATATTATATTCCTTTTCTGACAATAGATCTGCCTGAATGTTACACACTGGACCTTTTGTGCTGCTGCAGTCTGAATAGACCATGTTACTGTAACATGTTACACCAGGAATCAATATTTTACCCACCCATACACACCCAATTGAACTTTTGAAAGCTACATGATTCAAATGAATCCACAGTTTTTTTAATTAGTAGGAATTTAGGATCCATAAAGTGTTGTTTCAGGACAAGCCTCCAGAACAGCTTCAATGTTCCTTGTCATTGAAGTATCTATTGGAGGGATGAACACCATTCTTCCTAAAGATATACCTTTATTTTGCTGTTCTGATGATGGTGGTGGAGGGTGTTGTCAAACATGTCACTCCAAAATCTCCCATGGGTATTCAGTGAAGGCCATAGCTTCTGATTCACATCATCTTCATACTCATCAGACCACTCACTATGTATATGTTATGTTCATTCATATAGCTTTTTCCTTTAATGAGTCACTTGCATGTATCATAGATTTGAAAATCTGAATGACTACCATCCTTGTTGTTTAAGGTATTCAAGTGCTGCTTGCTTACTGTCACTATCCTGCTGAAACATGAATCATCCCACCAGAACAAGGCCTCTGTTATCCTGCATCTATTCACCAACATTTGGCTTATAGATGGGCCTAAAGAAATACAGCTGATACATACTGACCAATATTTATGGAAAATGTATAAATGGAGATTTGGCAGCTGTCATCATCTTGCTCAAAATAACTGTATGTAAATTAAAAGAAATAAAAATATGTGACCCGCAAGATTTTCTCAGTAAGCGAGTACACACCTTCCCAATGTTGTCAGTGCAAACACATTTTTAGGATAACAGCAGCAGCAACAGCATGGGTAATATGCTCCGAGGCAGACAAAAGGATTGTTTGTCTGCCTCGGAGCTAAAATACATCTCCACTGTCACACTGCAGCTCTGCAGGACCAGGCTCTGACAATTACCATTGTATTAATGTCTGAAACTGTTTGCATCGTTTGGCTGCATACATTGTTCCCTCCATTTTGACAAGTTTCCCAGGCCCTGCTGCTCAAAAGCACCACACAGCATGATGCTCACACCTCCTCGCTTCACAGCAGCACACTGTTACACAAGCGATGAGCTCAGTTCAATGCTTGTTTCATCTGACCACCGAATCGTTTGCTTCTTGCTCTGCCTTTTCTGCAGGACGGGTAGCCCCGTCCCTGATTGGTGAACTAACTGTTGATTGAGTGTGTGTGTGTGTGTGTGTGTGTGTGTGTGTGTGTGTGTGTGTGTGTGTGTTTTTGTGTGTGTGTACCTGTCTGATGGGCTCTGGGACCCGGTAGCGGCAGCAGGTGTGCGTGAGGCGTACAGCTGTGTCCACACTGATCTTGTGGCCAATGGACACATACACTGGCTTGGAGCTCTTGTCGGAGCTTCTCAATGCCTGGACACAAAGACAAATGTCTCTAGTAACTCTCTCTGTGATTGTTATCGTCGTACACATTTTGTCGAGTTTGACTTTTAGCAGGGTGGGTGTTCTTTGAAGTCGGCAGCAACACAACAACAGCTTTTGATAAAAGCACTTGTTTCTATTTTTTGTGTGTCTGTCCTTTGCCGCACCTTTCCGAGCACTTTGCCTGAGGCGGCTGTGAGTGGGAAGCTGTCTCCTCCTTTCTGCAGAGCAGCTATCTGCGGAGGCAAAGAAACAAAAATCAAAGTCAAAAAAGATGTACAGAATGCCAATACAAATAGCAGTGCACTGAAACAAACTATTAACCTGCTGTGGAGGATTCACACTCGTGTATTATTCTTGAAAACTCTGGGTGACTTGACTTTCATGTCCATATATTTGGAGCTATGGTATGTTTCAAAACTACACATTTAGAACAAACTATAGAATTCTTTAAAGGATGGCAAATTAAGCTCTTGATTGAAACGATACTAATAGTATCTTCATATTCAGATACATTAAGGAAGATCATTTTTTTTTAAAAACTATGAATAAACCAGCTGTACCCCTAATCAGAACAAAATAACTCAAAAGCATGATTATCAATAATATTTCATAATGAGGGAAATTTTCAAAACTTTGATTTTGTGCATGACACATTTTTCTAAGGTTTTTGTGTAACCTGACGGAGCTTAGGAAACGTTTTATAATCACTAATTAACACTAACTGTTTATTCCAACAGTCCTGTGTATGACTAATGCAGAGATTTTGTATTTTTTACCCAAACACATTATTATTATCCAACCCAAACCCATGACTTTAAATTAAAATCAGTAGTGGGGTAGAGATTAGTTTATCATTACAACCCACACTGACGGAGGGACTGTGCGAGGACAGTTAGAGATAACCTGATATATATCATATTGGGGCCGATCTGGGCATATTTTGAAGGATCGCTAACAGCTGAATTAAAGCAGATCAAAAGAACAATCCTTTCTCTACTTTCCTGTGCTTTTCCTGCCTCAGCCTGTTGTGCTGCCGCCCATTCTCCTGTATGACAGTAACACTCTACACGTGAGAGAAAGGCCAAGTGTCTGACAACGTTTAGATGCTGCATATTTTTGTTCCAGGTAGGGTCACGTTTTCTGATGGTCTGTGTCAGAAACTGTGGCTCTCGTTCTGCTGCGCTTCTGTCGACCCTTGATCATTTTCTTTGGTGTTATTCAGGCTTTAAAGAAGGTGAGAGAAATGTCAAGTATCTGATCATTATTAGATGCAGATATTTCAGGCACAGGTCGACAGAAGCACGGCAGGATGAAGGCCACAGTTTCTGACAGAGACAATCACAAAATGTGACCCTATTGTACCTGGAAAAAAAATGTGTATGTAAATATTGTTTCCCTGACCCATTTTAAAGACTGAATAACATGAATAACAACAACCACTTGTGCAAAGTAACATCCATGCAACAGCGATCGATTTCAAGTCTGTTCAAAATCAAAGGATTAACAGTTTGAATGAGGACTGTAAGGTAGTTGCAATGGGCCCCAGTGCACACTACAATGACCGGGCCTGGCTACCATATATCGTATCATCTCACCACATGATCAAACATTGAACATCAACATATTACCTAGCAACCACCATTGCATGCAAGTATATGACAAAAATATGAAAGAAAATAAGAAATTATTCATTTAGTTGAATAGTTTTTATAGTTTATGTAGAATAAGCATATAATTTTGGTTATGACTAGTTTACCCTATTTGATATAGCAAATGGCACCATTTTTAATTTAAGGCATTTTTCACTTGCAAGGACCTGTTCTCTACCTGTTTTTGGAGGGCATTCTCTCTCTACGGCCCCCAACCCACACACCTCACAGGCCCCAGTGCAACTGCACTGTCTATATTCATGCCCCTGATCAGGACCTTCAGTATTTGGATCATGTAGCTCATGAAAACTAAGGTGTGCCACAGTCAGTGGTAAAGAGCTGTTATTTCAATGTGTCAGTGAATCCACATTTCAGTAAATATAAATATAACATTCGACCCATTCTACTGTGTATTGTTTCTACTGATGCTAAAAGCCAATTAACTCATAGACCCTCGTAATAAAAAAACAACAAAAAGAAAAAACACAGACTTGATCCTCTCTGGGTATTTGAACATTCCTGAGAAAATCACACCCGGTGCAATAATGAGTCCTTAGTGGCTTCATATTAGTTTATTCTAAAAACAAATAACCCAGTCATAAATAAGTCAAATGATACTTGATGTCACTATTTGCTATTTAATAAAAACTGGAAAGACCAAAATTAGACTAAACCTGGAAGATAGTTCAAATGTGTGATCAGTGGATGATGAACTCAGGGTTACATTTTAGGCATTTTTTAAAGAAGACCTATTCATTTTTTTCTATAGGAACTAAAGTTTTGGTCTCATAGTCAAAGAGACGGTGCAAAGTCAGATGTACTGATGTGGGCTGCTGTTGACAGGTGTGCTGTGGGTTACGGGCCAGAGCGATGAAGGGAGCTTAGCCTCCATGATGGATGGAGTGTCTGCTCTACTATGACTGATTACAGCAAGCAGCCAGCGGGGAGACAGGAGGGGCAGCACAGGGCCTCCGATCCCAGCTGGGATGAGGCCAACACTGTGTGTGTGTGTGTGTGTGTGTGTGTGTGTGTGTGTGTGTGTGTGTGTGTGTGTTTGTGTATGCGAGAGAGAGAGAGAGAGAGAGAGAGCAGGCCTGAAGCCAGAACAGAAGTCAGAAAGACAGAGCAAGTCATCAATAACACACTAGTTTGAGTTACAGCCAGGCTATCAGTGAGAGGGAGACAAAGAGAAAAAGAAGAAGAGAAAAAGAAAAAGATAAGATGATGGGAGAAAGATAAAGTGAGAGGGAGAAAGGGGATGGAGTGGGAGAAAAGGAGGGAAACACTGGAGGTGAAGAGTGGAATAGGGGGAGAGAGAGAGAGAGGAGAGAAAGACAAATACAGAGGACGTAAGATCTGAAGGACGCTGAGCAGCAAGGAGCTTCAACAACAAGGACATCATTTTCCCAAAGTGTATGGAGGACATGGAGAAAGAATATCCTCTTTCATCCTTTTTGTTTTGTTTCAGACTCAACGCAGATAAAAACACACAGCACTCCTCTGCCTCTATTCAAGCACAGACGCATTACATTTACATCTTCTGGGCATTAAGCTACACCTAATGTAGAGGAGCAGGTAGAGATGGCCTGTGTGTTCAAGGACACTCCTAAAGGATAAATACAGCTTTTAATGGACACACTGGCCATTGAGGGGACTGTACATACTCAAAGGTTGTTGTTGTTGTTGTTGTTGTTGTTGTTGTTGTTGTTGTTGTTGTTGTTTATAGACTGTTTTCCAGCACTGGAACAACTGAGATTTCTCAAACTACAACTTCATTCTTTATTGATTTTAAGGAATGCTTCAACTTTTTGGGAAATACGGTTATTCTTTTTATTTCTGGGAGTGAGATGAGATTGATAACACTCTTATGTCGCCATATTAATTTCATGAGATAGACCATAATTTAAAGTAACCAAGTCATTAAAACTGTTCATGTAAGTCTGAAGGTTGTAGTTCTGAGTCAGAAATATCTGGAATTTCTGACAGCTTCGATATCTCCCACTTGGTTAAAAAAAAAAAAAAAAGGGGGGTGGCAAAGCCTCCATCGCTGGCAGCTACATCTAAATAAAATTCAATTTTATCACTAGTACCAGTGTTTCCTCTAGGATTTTTTTAGCAGTGGGGGCAGGCCTGTCCGAACAAGTTCCACTTGTTGTTAAATTGCAATGTGAGCGGCAGCCAACGGGGGTGCATTATGTCGGCAGGATCATTTAAAAGGCAACCGTGACTACATTGTGTGTCTGCCCCATTTCTGATACCGTGGCGGCAGAAATTTAACAGTGGCGGGCCGCCGCTCCAAAATCAACATAGAGGAAACACTGAGTACAATCGATTCAGTTAATTTAAAAGTAGTTATACACAGTTTGTTTGATTTAAATGAACTGTTCCAAATCCTTAACACTGCAAAATTAGCTAATTAAAGGTTAGATCAGTAATTCTGGAGGAAGATTGCTGATTCTCAGGTCGTCAAATACCGGGTTGGGTTGGATTGGGCCAAAGTGGAAGAGAGAGAGGGGATGAAAGGCATTTAAGGGCCACAGGTTGGGTGCCCCTGACCCCTCTTCTAAAGCTCTTTAAATGATGTGACTACAAGGCTAGCACTGGAGCTAACCATGCTTATTCCCACTTCTGAATAACAGGATGAGTTCTTGAATTAAAATGTGGTTGGCCTAGCTTAGCATAAGGACTGGAAGCAGGGAGTAACAGCTAGTGTGACCCTGTCTGGAATATACGCCTACCAACACGGGTCACAAATGAGTATGTTGACTGTTGTTTGTTTAATCGGTCACAAACAAAAAAGAAAGTGAAAAAGGTGGCAAACGTGTTGTCTCTCTTTAACCTTTATGCTAAAGCTAGACTAACCACATCATGACTCCAGATACGTACTCAAAATACAGATATGACATTGATATAGATTCACTTAAAGAAAGTTAATTAGTATAAGCACATGTTTTATATTGGTTTATATTGGTGTACAGTCACAATTGCACTACACCTGCTTACCTTTCTGTGATGGAAAGACTGAAGTTGCTGTGGCCAGCTGTTTCACTGCTAACCTCTAACGCTCACCGACTCCAGCTCTGTACCACCAGGGTGCCCAGGTGGTCATAATGTTATGGCTGATCCATGTACAGTACATAATACTTGAGCTTGAAATTGTTTTTGTTACATGAATACCTTCAAGGATCTGTGCACCTGTGTCTCATAAAGACACACACACACACACACACACACACACACACACACACACACACACACACACACAGCTTTACTCTGGAGGCACACACATTTAATTACAGCTACTGAGAGAAAGTTCTCTCTGTAACCTTCAGAGACACCTCTCAGACTGCATATTGGTTTTTGAAAACTCTCAGTGTGTTTCTGGAAACTCTTTCTGACATCTAATTGAGTATGGCAGCATATCACTTGTCAGTGGTACGTGCTGGTGCGCGTGTAGATCCGGTCATGGCTAATCTTATTTCTTAACATCTAATTTTCTGAAATTTGGTGGGGAGCCTGATATGGCTTGTGTTTCACGGATTACTTCACAGCTAATTTCCCACCAAGCGCTCATACGCCGAAGCTGGTGTTGACTTGAGGCGTCGCAATTCTGTGCGTGCCTGTAGACAAATTAGACGAAGCCCCAGAGAGTGGCAATTACATCAATATGGACGGGAAGGGAGTTCTAAAATTTCATGCACAGCAACTGATCGAAAGCTAAGAGCTCGAGTCCAAAGATGCAACATGGGAGTGTAATGCTATTGCATAGTACCTGATACTTAAAATGAACATGTCCAAGCCACCAGGATTTTGGCACAGAGATAGTATCAGTAGATATGTGAGACTGCTTCCTCAGAGGTGACCATGTTCTGTGTAAACAAAGAGATCAGGTTCCTCCCCACGGCAGAGACAAACCAACACTTTCTGACGCCAAAGCCACCAGCCCAAATTGAGGGAGATGGATACACTCCTATAGAGAATTGAATTAGCATGTTACACTACTACATGAAGACCGCTGGGGTTATGAGCAGAGAGTCTTTTGCCTGCTAATTGAGTTAGCAGTGGATTGGATGATTGCTAGAGTCATCCATGCTGGTTCCCTTTGAAACTTTTGAGTAGCACTTGTCATCTGCACTACAGCAAATGCCTGTCACTACTCAGATCCACATGATTTGTATGCCAGAACTTGCACGATGATATTTTCCTCAGGGAAAGCACTTGAGGTCAGTTATTATCACTGACACATCAGAGCAAAAGGGAAAAAGCTGGGTTCATGCCCTTTCTATTTTTCCATTTTCTGGTTTGCTTCAGGTTGCGCATCCCAAACACTGAAGATCTGTCTGACGTCTGAACTATTTTCCAGAGGGATGACAGATGCATTGACAACATAGCGTGTGTAAATGTATCTACAGTCCATATGTATGCAAATGTCCAATTTTTTAATAGAAATCCTTAGCAGAAATAGAAAGTGTGACAGTCTAAACCTTCTCACATCAAAGATCAAAGCAGCAAATGAAGCACAAGATGCCAAAACTTCTCCTTACCTGCAAATTAGAAAAATAGTTAATATACTCTGTCCATTCTCTTACTTTAGACTCTAGCCAGATGCCTGTTCATCGGGCACATTTAACTTTAACTTGTTTTTATTCTTTCTTAAATAGGTCACTGAGGCTCCAGACTGAAACAAAGTGAACATTTGAATATTAATGAAATCCAGTTTTTGCTGTCCCACAGGTATACTTTGACCAATAGGTATTTGTTCCAGCTTGATTTGTATTCAAAAAGTCACATTAGCATTAGCTACACAAGGAGGCCTTGGCTTGCAATAAAAGTCATACTGTCAAAACAGAACACACAATCACACACACACTCAAATGCGCGCACAAGTAGAAGTGTTAGTGTGAGTTCCACGCACGCACACGCACTCACATTCAAAAGTAATTGAGGATTCTGTCCTTTGCTTCGTCCCTCTCTGACATTTCTTTGCTTTTTTTTAGAATGCAGTGAGCAATAAACAACAGAAAAAGTGATTACACTTTGATAACTTAACTTGAATAATTCATCTATTGACTCTTGTGAAGGGTGACAGCTCTTTTACAGAAACAGAATGTGTACGCAGCAACAAAGAACACCAAACGTGACGTAGTACATCAGCTTTTCATCATCTTTTAACGTTTTATATTACAGTCTTGCATACATTCTGTAAGCAGAACCACAGAGTGACAAAGTTGTACAGCACAGAAGGGAAAAAAAACAGATGTACAACTTTGTCAAGTGTGTAAAGAAAAACCTGTGAGCTCAGCCTTCAAATGGGGAATGTGAAGCCCCCCCTCTTGTGCTATTCACAACCTCCAGAGTGGAAATTTTCTGAAAGCTCACAAGTTTACGAGTTTGTGTACACAACTCCCACGTTGTAACGAGCTCACGAGTTCCATTTAGTCGGGCTAGAAGGTCTAAATTTAAGTCTCACCTGTGACTGGTGCTCATCATTCTTGTACACACCCTGCACCTGCAGCAGGTTCTTGGCCACGCCCACACATGGCAGCCCTGACAGCACTCCGAGATGACACGCCAGGCCGAACTCTGCAGGGTCCAAACGGTGACAATGTCAAATCTAGACCGAAACCAAGCTCAATAGTATTGACTTTGTGAACATAATAAATCAATATCTTGTGACTGCATGATGACAGCCTAACACACATAAAAGAGACACTGGTGTACCTGGTCTGTAGATTTCCGTGATATTATGTGCATCATTATAGCAATATCAATATGTCATATATCTGATGAGGAATGCAGCCGTTATTAATGTTAATAATTACTTTTCTTGCCATGAAAAAAATTTTGTTGTAAAAAAAGATCTATTGCATTTTTAGGTCTGTCACTTAACACTCCCTGCCATAAATAAAAAAGCATCGACCAGCTTGGCTTACCTCTGTAGTGGAAGAGGCCGTTTCCATCCACAAACACCACCTGTTGAGTGGGAACACAACACATACAGAACTGAAATTAATTTCCCTGTAGTACAAAATAAAGCTACAGCTGATTAACAGTGGAGCAGAGGCATTGTTAATGTTATTAGTTCCACCTGTGCTTTTCCTGATAGATCAAGTTAGAATGCCAGCTGTGAAACCTTTTTGCTCCTTATCTATGACCCCAGCTGCTACCACTGTGTACAATGTCTTTATCCCGAGATTTAATAGTTACAGTTAGTAAGAGGCAAGGTCCTCAAACTGATATTCTTACAAGCTATAATATATATAATATATATATATATATATAATATAATATTCCAGCTCCAACACACGCCAATGAATTCTTGAAGCCAAAGGTGACTCTACAGACATATTTCAGCATTGAATCATAAGTGACCGGGAATAAGTCACTTCAAAGGTTGCAGACAAAGGGAGCGGTGACTGCATCTGTCCAGGGCTAAATGTCAGTGGAAGTAAAACTGAGTGTGCGTGTGGTGGGTGAAAGTGTGTATGTGTGTGTTTCTGCACACCGGTGTGCATGGCGACAGAGAGACAGAGTGGGAGGAAGCGAGGGAGGCGCGTGGGCTGCGACAAACAGAAGTGAGTGGGCAAGGATGAATTTGAGGCGATTTTTTGAGAAACAGTGAGAGAGGGACAACAGAGGAGCTTTGTCAAATAGCTGCAGTCCATTCAGTGGGTTTAATGTGCACGAAGTAAGGTGAGGTTTACACCATTTAAACAAGCACAATAATGTCAGTAAACTGTTGGTTGTGTCAGTAAATTATATCTCATATTAAAAATCCAAACAGTATCTTCAGTTCATCCTGGATGCCTAAAAAACTTCATGACCAAAATCCCCACTCCATTTGTAAGATTAAGGCTAGCCAAAATTCTAGCATGTAACGTTAACATGCTTACAGTATGATATACAGTTATATAAGTTTAATGACATATGTAATATATATAAGTTACACTAACACTAATTCTAATGTGTAAAATAGCTTTGATTGGGCCCAAAAAATCAGGGCCGACTTGAGCCCAAACTGGAAGCAGTTTTGGTCCCAACCCAAACCCGAATTTCTGCTTAAAATAAATAAATAAATAATTAAAATAGTTTATTACAGACTAAAGTCAACTACACTGTGTATATAATATAGCTGAAACTTATTATCAAAACAAATCAATAATAATTGTACCCAATAATTACAGTTGCATGCATTATTAATAAAATATTACACACACATATATATATGTGTGTATGAGTTACAAAGTAGCTTGATGGAATAGTGAGTATGACCGCATTCATTTTTTGTGTGCAGAAACTGACTTGAGGCAGAAGTTCGGGCTGGTTCTTCTCCAGCCGCTGGATAGCATCCAGGAGGAAGGGGGTTTCTCTAAAAGCCAGGAAGCCAGCTATGTAGGGGGCTGTCAGGGTCACCATCTGACTGTCCTCATACAGCACCTGGGGACGGGACAGGAACACTGCTTAATATGTCATTCTATTTTTTGGGCAACAAGAAAGCTGAGTGGTCTCTGGTGATCAAAAAGTTGTATTTCTCCATAGGTCCAAACACACCTATTCCACACCTATACTGTAAACTAAATGGCAGTACACTGATCCCCTAGCTGCTAATGGTCACACTAGGCAGCACATAACTAACCTAAAAAGTTAAAAACATCAAAATTGCAGACTAGTTAGCGAATTAGCTGCTCAGTGCAAAAAAAAGCTAACCTGCAAATGTCAACGTTGGCCAATTTAGATGCTAAATGATGCTGAAGGGTGTGATGGTTAACGTTCACTGCAGCTAACAGGACATTGTCTGTCCATAGCTCATTAACTGTAGTGCAACAGTGGCAACAGTAAAAAAAAAAAAAAAAAAAACAGATGAGTGATTGTGAGTTCAGCTGGACTTTAAAGCTGCAGTAGGTAATTTATCTAATCCTAACTAATCCCCACAGGGATTGTTACAGCAGCTCCAGATAGAACACAACACATAAGAACAAATAAATACACATTAAATAGCTAAATAAAAGAGAAAAATACAAGATTACTGCCATTTCCTAAGCTTATAATCAGACTGCCAAATGAATAAGACTCCAGTCAGCACAGTATGCTGGCTGAAAACAGCCTCAATAGACCAAATGTTAGCATTATGCATGTAAAGTTGTAAGTATAAGCCAAATGTCATACTATTCATAGTAGGAGTCTGAACTACATTTAGAGACACAATTTCGTTGTTTTGTTTCCAAATCACAAGTAAGTCTTTGCTATGAAGTCTCTGGTGCAACTCCTGTTTCAAAGTCATTATGTGCCCATTCACAAATTAAAAATTAACAAAAAAAGGATCAGGTATGCCTTTGTATGTTATTACTGAGACACAATTACAATCATTGTTTATTTCTGAGATGAATGTTTTGAACATATTATAGTTTTATAATCCAAATGTGGTAATTTGTAGAGATCAAATGACCCTTCCACTCCTACTTAACAATGAGATTGATGTGAAATTGCAAGTCATTTTTGTTTTATCAAGTCATCAGATTCTGATTCAAGTCCTGGTGTCTACAGTGCTGCTATTTGTCAGTATGGACATGCATTTTGTAGATGTAGATGCTGATGCTGTAAACAGAGAGCTGATTTCTGAATATGAAAGCCAGTCTGTTATAAAGTCCAGGTAAAAGGCTCGACAACGGACATTTTAAAATTAAACTCTCATTCGGTTCAAGACACTTTTCTAAAATCATCAACTGTTCCTCACAAGCCGCTGTGCTTCAGCTGTCACGACTCTTTAACCTGCTTCAAAATCGTTTTCTGCTCACAATGAGAAGAAGCACCAAGGTCTTCGATGCTGTAACATCAGATAAAAAACACTTTTCACCATGGCCTACTGCAGTGGCTACAAATAAAATATGCAGAAGCTCTTGTTTGTGAAGGTAAGCCTGGACACAAGGATACACTCAGCTATCAGAAATGTCAACTACCATTCAGGATATGACAATATTGTATTTTTAACTTCATTGCCCTGTGATACACAGTGGTGATAAAACATGGCTGAGTGTTATTGCGAATAATTTCAACACCTAGAGTTCATGCTGAAAGGATATTCATTTATTTTATTCCAAAGTGTGTTGAGCTTCTGTCTGAAACTAGCTTATTTGAATGCAAACTGTACAATAAAACTAGCACAGCAGTGGACACACTGTGCATCATGTTACCAGTATTACTTAGTGTCACAAATGGCCTTAGGTGGCAGTGTTGGAGTAAATTGAAAGCAAGCAGGGAACATAATCCCATTATTGGACAGCATTTCTGAGCAACATTTCATTAGCCTTGTTGGGTCCATGTATCAACAACACACGGTGACAAATGTCATTAATTATACTGTGTTATATAATGAGAGGGTGCCGGCAGCCCATGTTAATGCACAGATAAATAGTAGGGAGGAGGAATGCTTGTGAAAGGCTGTACAGAGAAGCAAATGAAATGAAAATTGGGGCTGCCAAGGTCTCGTCTGTAACAGCCGGTTTAACAAGACTCGACCTTGAGCTGTATTGTATATTAAACCTCCTGTGTATTAATACTGCTTTTTATGCTTGGCAAGTCCGCTCTTAGTGCTTGGATTGACTTAAAAATATAGTTGCATTAGATTAGACATACAGCACTTTTATGGGAACGAATATTAAAATTCAACAGACTTTTGAGAGGAGGCACAGGTTAAGTGATTAGAGGGCCGTTTTACAAAATGAATCGATAACACTGACACAAGGTTGGAGAAATATTTCACAGGTAGTTCATAATGAATCCCTACATGATACTAGGGCACATATGCGTTTAGCATTTCTGTCGCATAATATTACAACCACAGCTGCTATGGCAGGAACATTTGTCTTGCTTCTGTATTGTTGATCCTCCTGGACTCCTCGTACAATGATCCAAATACAACTTTAGACAGAAAAGAAAATGACTTAAAATATTGTAATATATATTAATAATACTATATTTATTTAATATATGTTATAATTTCAGCAGCAGCAGGCAGCTATTTAAAGCTAAAGAAAGGTCACTGTATGCTTCTAGCTCAGCACCAAACAGCACAAAGACTTATCACTAACTTTGTCTTTGTATCATATTGGAGCATTTAGCAGCTAATAATGTTATTATTATTAATAACATAAGCAACTGTCTGCTAACACGTTCACCATATCAACAATATAATAGTAATATGTGCGTTTGTTTGTTGAAAAGAAAAAAAAACACTCAGTTGTCACGGAGATAGCTCAGTTGTCATTACATAACTTAAGTTCATACTTAGTACAGTGAGCTATCTCACTGTAAGTAAGTAAGTGTACCTTGAGTTAAGATATTTCTATGTCAAACATCAGCTTCCAAGGTCAGGAATGAACTTTCACACTAGATTTTGAACTTCTTCCATTGATGTTACAGTTCGCCTCCAACAAAATGTAGTGGGTGCATCGAGTATGTATGGACGAAATAATGATTAGTTTGTTGATTACTGCACTGTACATATGTAATGTAAACAAACACAAAAAACAATACGTGTTCCGCTTCTCATTTGTGTACAGGCACATTAACTGCTATCTTTTATGCACCTAGGCAATCATGGCAGGGTGTTATTATTTGTAAGAACAGAAAAAGAGAATCTGGCTCTATACTGAACTAGTAAATGTGTAATATGCCAGATTTTATGGTTGTGTGCCCCGCTGTATGGACCTGAAGTAACAACCTGAAAAGAAAACACTGTAAGATGTATAGTAATCCCCTGAAAATATCATATCAAACAACAACTGGAAATAGACACAGGGCATTAGATATCTGTTTGAAACATCTCAAATCACTTCAGTGGGTGACTAAAGCAACCAGGCAGCCTTGGTGAAAGTATGAGTAATTTGCTGAAGTGTGTTCACAGTGATCACGCTGTCATAAAAAAGCCGTAAATTTAAAGTGATGGAGTCGCAGCAGGAAGCAGCTTACTGTGACCTCGCATTCAACAACCCAAATAAAGTTAGCAAGGCTACTTTTCAGAGCAAATAAAATATCCCGTGGGATTTTACATCATGATATATTGTTATTTTTTATTTTATCAGATGTGTTGAATACATTCTGTGATTATCTTTCTTGTCTCTACAGTGAAAATTTGACATTTCCTGACAAATGCAGACTTCTTCTATGTAAGCGGTGGGACACTTTGGCACCAGACTTTGCAAATGCCTTCTCTCAACACTGCTGCTGTTCCCACCTGTCACCACTAGAGGCTGACAAAGCTCACAGATTGCTGAGTTCATCTGTGATTACTGGGTGTAGTGAGGGGACAGCTCACCTCCAGGTCGGGGTAGCTGAGCACCACGAGCTGGGCGCAGGCGTTGACGTCATCCCCTTTGATGAAGGAAAGGTCCACTCCTCCGACCCTCTCCAGACCCGAGAAGTCCGCACTCCTCTGCCAGTCCTCTGTGTCCTCCTCCACCACCTCCTGCCTGAGACGGGCCTGCTCACTGCACAGAGAACGGACTACTGAGACTAACAGTGCAATCACAGGACACAGGCAGGGACAAATACTCACATGAGAAATACTTCATGCCAGAAAACACTTAAAATGTAATCCAAATGCAAACAAAGGGGTCGCCCTCACCAAAAATAGTGACTGTCTGATCTTTTATTAAATGGACTTCAGTTAGACAACAACTAAATCCCAGTTCTAAATGCTTTACTACCAATGCTGCTGGCCAGTGTTGGGCTAGTTACTCAAAAGTGTAATTTATTACTCATTACTCTTTTCAACAGTAATTAGTTACACTACTAATTGTATTACTTTTCTGCTACTCCCCACAATATTGTCAATTGTGTCCTTTCTCCCCAAAATTAATCAGACTAATGACAATTAAATGATGAGAAACACATTAAACATAGATTTCTTTTACAAAAACAAATAAGCATTTAGTTTACATTCTATGTTGGGTGTTTTAAGGCTGTCATAATGTTCTACAGCAGAATAACATTGCTGGCATTAGTGCTGGGCAATATACTGCTTTTAATTTACCATATGATATGAGTTTTTCATATAATGTTGCTGAAACAACTGCTGTAGACAGCTCTGCAATAGAACATCTGAGAAATATCTCTTTGAAAACTTAAATACTTCGAGTATTTTATGTTGGTTTATAGTGTTTATAACTGTTTTGAAATATTTTGTGATGTACTCCTGACAGGAGAATAAGACCTTGTTTATTTGTTTTGTTTTTCTTTGTCTTCCTGCTTTCTTTTTCTTTTAAGGTTGTGCATTTTATCCATGTCTTCATGTCCCTGTAATTCTGTTGTTGTTGTTGTTTTGTAAATTCTTTGGTTTTGTAAATACTGTCATCCACTTGTGTTGAATAAAAAAGAAAAGAAAAAGACACTATAAACCTATATAAAGGCCCAGTGATGTAAAAGAAACAAACAAACATGATATACCATGAAACTACCGTGATACTAATTTTTACTTACCACCACAATAAAATGTAGAGCAACAAGATTTGTTAAAAAGATTAAATGAGTTTGGTAGGTGGCTTTCATAGGTTGGTGCTCTTGCGGTGCTGGGGGAGTCTTTTTTACGAAGCATTTCTACGACTGCAACTAACAATTATTAATTCATCTGGCAAAAATGTTCTCAATGAATCGTCTTTCTCTATAACATGTCGGCAGATAGTGAAAAATGTTGGTTTAAACATACACTCTACATCTTTATATGTTACAACAGGAAGTACATAACACTACAAAGACAAGTGGACCAGAATGCAGGGCTGCAAACAACAATTATTTTCATTATTGATTCATCTGATGATCATTTCCTCAATTAATTGATTAGTTGTTTGGTCCATGAAATGTCCCAAAAGCCCTAGGTGATGTCCTAAAATGTCTTGTTTTGTCTTCAAGCCAGATATATACAGTTCACTGTCATAGAGGACCAAATCAACCAGTTAATACTCACATTTGAGAAGCTAAAATCAGAGAATTTAGACAGACTCAAAACGATTCATCGACCATTAAATTGTTGCTGATTAATTTAGTAGTAATTGATTAATTGACTAATGGTGCTGTTTTAAATGATATAAAACAAAAATGCTACAAAGCTGGAACCAGAGAATTTTTACTGCAGGACTAACTGTTTTCATTAAATGTAACTGCTTCCTGTTTCCCAACTTGTACAGTTTCATCTGCACACACTGCAGAAGCTCCGGTACTTTATTCTGGGATTGGGAACTAGAATTTGTAGGTGGTGACAAGATGGGTTGAGACTTCTTGTCTACACACACTGTCCTCAGCTGGACTTTTACAGCCCCACAGCGCACACAGACAGACAGACACACACACACACAGACACACACAGACACACACAGACACACACACACAAATCTGAGCTGCAGCTGGAGATGGCAGGCGACATAAGGACATAATATGGAATCATGGTGTCATCACTGGCCTTGCCATTACAAACTCACAAATCAATGGCTGCTGAGGACTGGTGGCGCCCATCCAGAGCTGCTGGCAGAGAGTTACAACAACACAGGGACACAGACAAGTGTGGCAACATCTGTCAGCACATTGTGGAGCACTACATGTGTTTACCAAGCGAATGATAACAAGTGGCTACACTTGTGTACTGTATGTAGTGTGTGTAGTGTGTGTACTGTATGTAGTGTGTGTACTGTGTGTACTGTGTGTACTGTATGTAGTGTGTGTACTGTGTGTACTGTATGTAGTGTGTGTAGTGTGTGTAGTGTGTGTACTGTATGTAGTGTGTGTACTGTGTGTAGTGTGTGTACTGTATGTAGTGTGTGTACTGTATGTAGTTTTGTATGTAGTGTGTGTACTGTGTGTACTGTGTGTACTGTATGTAGTGTGTGTACTGTGTGTACTGTATGTAGTGTGTGTACTGTGTGTAGTGTAGCCTATGTAGTTCATTAGTATAAACGTAAGAAAAGCACTCTAACCTCTCCCACCGCTTCACCAAGTCTTCAGCAGGAGCCGCGGACATATTTGCCGCCTGGTGGAGGATTTAATGACGGAAATCAACTGACACACACATAAAGTAGTGAACACGAGCGCCACTGTTTTGCTTCCGTGTACAGACGTCACCGTGAGGGCGGAGCCTGCGTCTGGCGTCAGCACGGTGTTACGTGGGTAAACCCTGCCATCTAGTGGGGTAAATGACAAATTACACTGGACAATTGTATATTTGGTTGGAATGACAGTAAGTTATTAGTTAATACATCTTTTTAGTAATACATTTATTTTTTGTGTGTAGTATCAAGCTTCATTTGTCCGTTATATTCTCTGTTTAATGGAGCAGTCTGCAGAACAGGACACCTCAAATAGAAGTAGATTTGGGACACGCCTGTCACAGCCTCACAGCTTAAAGCAAACAATAAAATGTATGACAGAGGTTGAGAGAAGAGAGACTCAAACTGACATATCCAGTGATGACAGAAATAATAAAAGACATAATCTGATAAGTAGAAGAAAAAGAGCAGTGACCACAAATGTACAGAGAGTGAGAATTATTCTTTCTCAGCAAACATCATGTTGGAAAATAAAATGATAACGAGAAAACAGATGACCTGTAAACTCTACAGGAAGGAAAGGAAAGCGGAGTTGAATGTCAAAAGTTAGGTTTTTGTCTAAAAAAGGAGGATGAGTGATCCATTAAACTAGCAGGGCTCGTCAAAGGGCAGGTATGCTGAGAGAAATAAACACTGGAAGACAGGAATCTAGAGTAGACTGAGACTGACATGTCCACTGATGAGAATAATCCATCAGAGAGAAGAGATACTAGAAATGTCTGATGCAATCAGGTCTGATAAGACGTCTAAAGGTAAGACGTGGACAGGAACAGATAGGACAATGTGACAGATAAAAGAGGAGAGGAAGCAGAGGCACATGGGAGCTCATCCTCCAGTAAAAACTAGTGAAAGCTGTTTCAGCTGGAGTGGCCCTGGTAGCCTAATGGTCTAGGTGACACATAACTGTAATGGCTTCAGTTTGAGCCAAGCTGAGGACATTGGTTGCATGTCATCGTTCTCCCCACATTCCCTGTCTGTCGTGACACTATCGAATAAAGGCACAAATGCTCAAAATATGGAAATATTCCTGTGACGTAAGGGGTACCCCAGGGCTCTGTTCTTTTTATTTCACCTCTTAACCGATGATGGAGTTCATTTCTACTGCCAGCGTGGATGCTACTCAGGTGTAGAATACATTTGTTTAGGAGCATCATCCTGTTGAAGAAGCCATCTGCTGTCTAGGTTCAACTGGCAGCACCTAAAAGGAAAATTCTGACAGAAAAACAGCTATTTGCAATGAGGAGATTCAGGTCAGTGGGGACAGGTTAACTTTATCATTACTTAAGTCAGTGATGCAGCAAACACAAAACCCATTTTATTAATTAACAAATTATTTAAAATGTGAAAGGAGCCAGCGGCATAGTGATTACAAAACGTAGGGAGACACCTTAACATACTTTTCAGCAGGTAAAATCTTTGAACAATGTGGACAATACATACAAAAGTTTGGCAATAGATGCATTGTCAAATTGAATCTTGGTGAATTAGAACTTAACTCAAATATATTATTTATTTTAGTTTTGGATCTTAATATGTGCTTAACTTCATGACATAAGCAAAAGAGGCAAAGACACATGAAAACAAATGAATCTGACACAAGTGCATGATTTTCTCATAATTCAAGTTTAATGTTTTCAAAAAAATGTAAAGGCGCTATAATCTCATTAATTCAAATATTTTTACATAATTCCTCACATTAAGGTAAAGAGAAGATATGTAACGATGTCAGAAAAGGAAGCAGAGACAGACAAATGTGTTGAACAGACGAGACAAACAGTTATAGCCCTCATTTGTCAATGAGATCTTGATGAGAAGTTTACACACAGAGCTAAAGTCAGAGAGGCAGGAGACAGCAGAGCATGGAAGTGTTCTGGTATTTGTAACAGTGAATTTAAGCGGAAATGAAACAAAAACATCTGATCCGAGTACACTTCTTTATGCCTATGGCTTCAACCAAGCTCCACTCTGCTTTCTAATATATACACAAGGAAAAGTGTTAGAAAGCAAAACGGCAAAACTGGAGAGTACAAGTGACAAAGAGTACATAGAGAGAACGAAAGACAAAAGGAAGTATAAGAGTAGTTCGGTCTGGAACCAACGTTACCTGTTTCATCAGTCGAACCACTGCAGAAATGTAGGAATAACCAGGTGAAGGAAAGTTAGGCGTGTGGTTCTAGACATGCTTCAGAAAGTGAGAAGAGGCCCAGTAGAGAAACAAGCCTGCCGCCGGGGGTCGAGCGGGTGTTTGAACACATTTCACAGGCATATCTTCTATCCCCACCGTTTCTAACACTCATTCTTTTACACATCATACGCACTAAATAGCCCACAATCTGAGGAGGTCCTTTATCTCAGTAAAACATTTCACTTATTGCAGTTAATAACATACAGTTACCACAAGTTAACCCTTGACCTTTCATTAATATTTTAAAAACAGTTTCATGTATCAAAAACAAGCTGCAGGGCCAGTATTTTCAAGAGTCTGATTCACATATAAGGAGAAAGCCTCTGTCTTATAGTCTTGTTTTTTTTGCTGTCAGCTGCACTCAGTAATTATGACAACTGCACGCAACCACTCTTGGAAATGGCGACCATTCTGCCCTCTATAGGAAGTCATCAGTAAGTATTAACCAAATAAACTGTATTATAAAACTGTTGCATGGATGTGTTGCATTTAGAAATGTTATATTTGATTCACAGTCGCTCATCTATTACAGTGGTGACCTCGAAAAAAGCAGGTAAGTTTATAAGTGATGCTTACGAAGGCTAAAATGGTATTTATTGACACAATGACTCTTCAAATGGCTATACTTTGATTTTTAAATAATAGATCTGTAAACCCAATCACCACATGAGCATGCAGTAACACACCACACTGCTTCACCCCATCAAGTACTCCTCTCCAAAAAACAACAGTAACAATCTCCAACCAACACTAGTACATGTACAGTATCAATATGTTGTCTACTGGTGCACCGTCAAATAATAATCATAAAGTATTAAATAATAATAATAAACATTCATCCCTAATGCACACGGAAATCTACATCACTCTGAAAAAGAAGCAGAGACTGATGGCAGTTCTGCCCAATTACATCACAAGCCTCCAAATTCAGGCATCTCATTGGTTGGCGAGCGTTAGCCAATCAGTAGCACATTCACAAATCAGCGACAAGGCATCTCCTTTACCACTTGATTTTGATTTGAGTTCCTTAGTGGTGCAGACGCTGCATGGAAAGCAAACTAACTGCGGTTGTTCCAAAGAAAATAAAATCCGTCCAGGAGAAAATCTGGCGAGTTATTTGTGTTTTTCTCCTAGCAGAAAATTGTAACCGAGACAGGAAGTGATAATGTTGGTGCCACAAAATTTAGCTGTTTAACTGGCTCAGTTTGCCCGTCTGTCTGCCTGCACACGACTTATGACGAAAAGGTCATCCGCAATCAGCACCCATGATCCTCCTCGTACATCTTAATGATAAATAGAAATATTTCGCACAGTAGAAAGTCAAACTCGTGTTATTGCTTCTAGCGGATTACTTCGCTAAGAGTCGGACCCGGGTCGAATATTCAAATGCTCTTCAAGGTGTGATAAAGCCCTCGTGAGACAGACGGGTGGGGTTCGCCACATAAGACAACGACATGAATGACAGAAAAGGTCGCACAGCCACGGGAATGCATCTGAATGTTATTTTCCCCGTCGACCGGCAACTTTGCTGTCACCATCTGCGTCGTCATGATTCAGTAAGCTCCGCCCACTCCGCAGCTCCATGCGGTTTGAAAACCAAATTATTTGCAGGTGATATTCGACTCAGGCCTAGTTAAGAGTGTACCCCGCCCACACACACTTGACCTATAAACAATTCACCAGATTGAACAAACCCCTCTGGTAATATGGCAAACACTGTCAATTTTTGCATGTCGTCAAACGTCCGTGTGTGTGTGTGTGTGTGTGTGTGTGTGTGTGTGTGTGTGTGTGTGTGTGTGTGTGTGTGTGTGTGTGTGTGTGTGTGTGCGGTGGTGTTTGTATGTAACAGCACATCCAGTTTTTCAGCGAGCACACAAGATTGAGGTATGCGTCGTCTCAGTGCTGAATATATGTGGGGATGTAAATGCATATATGTAACAGCGCCTCCAGTGTCTTCATCCGGTCCCGTAGCTTCCAGGATGAGAATATTGCTTCTTTCAGCTTCCAGTGCCACGAAGACACCGCAATTCATCTCCCGACCTTTAACCTTTCCCCCCTGCACGAGACACGACACAAACAAACATTCTGCTAATGTTCTGATTCAAACTGTCACCGAGCAGAGATGCCAGGCATGAAAAATATATGACCTTTGTGCAAAAATCAGCCCTTTAAATTGTACACACAGTCTCTGTTTTTTCTTTTTGCCTCAGATTTTTTATAATTCTTTGTCTTCTGTTTGTGCAAGCATGCTTCAGTTCCATAGAGACTGGCTGTGCAATAGGAACAGAGTTCCAAAGACGACGAGGAAGGAAAGGAAGAGAGTTGGCTTCGGTGTTGAAGGTAAGGGCAGTGGAGGGTGGGGGGACTGTGGGGATTTAAGTCAGCTTCCGGTTTCTACCTGGAGATCATCGAGCTGGACTGTGACTGGCTGGAGGAGGTGGTGGCGGCGCTGAGCTGAGAGAAGCCGCTGTGGCTCGACTCCAGGCTGGTCATCGAACCCCTGAGGTGAGAGAGAGATCCAGAGAACACGTGAGCGGACACAAACTTTACATGGACACAACACCAGAGCAACCACAGTCTGCCAGTGACTAACTGAATGCATTCTGTGTGCACGGCTCGTGCTCATGATGCAGAACCATGCAGCCAGATCAAAAGTACAGGAGGAAGATCTATTCACTGTGTGTGGCTCAGGCTCTGCCATAGGCTGCAACAAACCAACAGTGTAGAAAGGGGCTGAAATGTGAGAGGACATCAAAATTCCAAGTCCTTTTCTTGTTCCAGTAAGTATTTTTCAAAAATACTATGGGGACAAGGGGGTTTGCTGAAGCTCAGGGTGTTTGTTGAGGTATCGTATGCAAAACCAAAACAGCCTTTAGTGTAATGGCTTCCTTTAATGTTTGAAGGCTTAGCTGCCTATGGCAAAGTAGGAAGCATTTTGTTCTTTTTGTGTCTTTCTGTAATTTTACATGACTAGGAGCACTGACATGTTTTTATCAATGTAGTATGTAGGCTTCTCCGTTTGTAAATATAAAGACAACATGTACATTTTGTAGGAAATTAGATTTTTTTTCAGTAATCCCATGCCTATAATGTATCATAATACATGACAACACACGAATAGGGAAGTTTTGTATCAAGTGGGTTAAAGGACACCCAAATATAAACATATTACTTTAGAAGGCCAAGTATGTAAATTCTCACAATTGGAAGGATTAAGATTAAATAAACAGATTTAATAATGGATTTAGATGGATAAAATGATAAAACCCCAACCCTAATTTCAAAAGCCTAAAATGAATTATTAGATTATTACGGTGTTTGAAATGGGATACATCTGTGAAGCACAAGTACATCTCATGTTTCAAGAGAGTCAATTTGCCCCTGCATACTGTATGTTTAAAGATATAAATGGATGTGTTTACTTTAACAGAGTATTTTATAACATTTCACCACTGTGGTTAAGGTTGCGTTAGGTTAATGCACAAAAATCATCTTCATCTCAAATAGGGCATGTTGGTGAATTCTCACATATATTCTAAAGACAATCTGTTAAACATCAAACAGCAGTTGAACTTTTACAAATACTCTATAAACTGTCTGTAGGTGGACTATCCAAACAGAGAGTTACTGTATTATTTAGGGCTGCTAACAACTATTTTTTGTATGTAATAATCCAATGCTTTGTTCTTGTTTTGATTAACTGAGTGTGTGAATGAGCTTTAAAACATTAATAGAGCGGAATTTATCATTTTGTAGATAAGCAAATGCACAAGGTATGGGGTAACTGTCTTACCACGGTCTGTAAACTGGTGCAACCCTAGCAGGTACATTACAGACATGGCAAAAGAAAAGGGCTAAATTCCATATTCATAGTTCAGGTTGGTGTTTCAGATATTTAGAAATTTCAATGTGTCAGTCATTAGAAAAACATCCTGTTAACTGCAACTAGAATGAGTTAGATGGTGATTTCAATTCTGTTCAAATGAAACAGCAGGTGCACGGAAAGCGAAGTGAGATTCAGTGAGTTGGTAGTACAAATGGATGAGGGCAAAAAAACAAGTACAATGCCAGGGAATGTCACTGTAAGTAGCTAAACAAATTCACGTGTTGGTCTATGTTGTGTGTGCACACTTGCGTTTACAGCAGTGTGCAGGAATTCTCCCAGCCTAGGATTCCTGAAATGATTAGTCATGCAAGCAGGGTGACTGAAGCCAGTCTCAGTGCAAAGATTCTTTCTTCAGTGTGAACAAAGCAACAGCATCCTGTTAGCCAACGCTAACAAAAGCCATAAGCAAGAACAGATGCAAAGGAGCATCTCTTTGCTGCATCTAAAGCGTGACATGTGCCATGAGAGGGGCCGTTCAAATTAGCAGCGATGGCGATGAGCTAGTGCTAAAAGGAAAAGGGGCAAACACTGAGCCACTTACAAACTCTGCACATCACAGCAAGCCGTTCTTCACAGGAAGAAGACAGAGCAGGAGGAGGAGGGGTTGTGAGCGATAGAACAGGAGTGGATTGGACAGAAAAGGCTGGATTAAAGGAGTCTCCGAGGGAGGGAAGCATCCTCATTTCAAAACTGTGGGCCTACAAAACTCATGATGCTCTTAAGGCTTCTCGTACTGTCATTTTAGCAGCAATACAGACTTAATTCATTCAAATATCAAATGTCATACGTGGCACTATGTGGAAGGCTGTCAAGGGGGGAAACTGAAAGAAGGCAGGAGTGAAAAATGAGCAGTCATAAAGGAATAATGTTTGAAATTAAAACTATCACAACATCATGGTAAGCACTTTAAAACAACACATACACCTCACATATACAATATGGACACAAATGTATGTCTTTGCCTTTTACTCACACAAACACACACTCAAAAGCTACTAACCGGAAGTCCTCAGAGCCCAACACCTCGGTGTAGTACATGACTTTACACTTGTGCGAGGAGACCTGCAGGGTGGCCAGCACGTCGTCCACTCGGGGCAGGTTGGTGGCCGAGCAGGCCGGCATGTTGTGGAACTTCCACTGTAGTATGTAGAAGCCTGGCCACCGCGTAATGTGGGAGCCCTGAGGAGAGGACAGATCAATAGTGCAGACAATGTCAAAGACTGACAAGCCAACACAAGACATAAAAAAGATTTTAAAAACAATTCACGTTCCGGGAACCTTACCTGCACACTCTCGCCTTCCTTGCAGGTAAGCGGGGACTCCACCATGCTGTAATCTTGCCCTAGTGTCCAGGACTTGTCGATGAGCTGGACGTTGTTGCCTCCTGGGGATGTGATGCCGTGGGCTCCCATGGCGTCTTTCCGTGGAGGCTGCGGGGCCCGCTTGGAGTGGTAGATGTTGAACACCACGTCGCCCTTGCACATGTCAAAGTCCCAGGTGATGACTGAGGAGGCGTCAATGATCTCAATCAGAACCTGGTTGGGGAAGAGAGGAGGGAGGGCAGACAGACATAGGAAACTGGAATTAAAGAGATGTTTCAGGAGAGAAACATGAAAACATTTTACCTCGCACTTCTTATGTCTTTACACGCAGCCATTCTTGGTTAAAAGGAATAATGTCAGAGCACCATTACTATTAGTGTCATTTGTAACAGTGGTGTACTTATAACTCATACTCCTATATTCATTTTATGTTGCTCCATATTTAAGCACCTGCTAAATGTGGCAAATCAGTTACACGGAGCAGTGAGAGATCATAATCTGTTTGTGAGGTTATGAGCTCATAAACATGAAATCAAAACCATTTCCAGGAGGGCGATTATGTATGTTGATGCATCTTTGCCTGTGGAATAAGTTATGTAACACGACTGACTCTGTCACTGCAGACAGATTATGCTCAAAAAGCCATGTCACATTTGTTCCACATCTGAATTCAAAAACCGCACAGAAGTCATCTACCACACATGACCACTAGATGGCAGAGGTTTCCATAAAACTTCCATCAGGGACATCCTGCAGCTCTCTGTTGTCCTGCCCTACATATTCATTTAAAAACACCACCACAGGCTTTCCATCTTTTCTTCTCACTCTAGTGCTCAATGTTCAGCCTTACCTCGTGTGGAGCCCCCTTGAAGACGCTGGCGCTTTGGTAGATGGTCTCAGTCCACAGGCGGACGTCTTCATTCTCCAGTTCCTCGGCTGTGCGGTACATCGACTTGGGAACCAGGCCGCCTTCTGGTACCTCACACTGTAGAGGAAAAGCATGCATGTACACACACATTGAACATATAGAACTGGGTGAGTAAAGTCAATGTGACATGAAGTTACATTGAAAGTTCGCATATAGGATTACCTCATATCCTCAACTGATAACCTAAGAGTTTTAAATCTTCTTTAGACACTCACCATACACTCTCCTCCCAGGAAGTCAGGGATGATCTCCTTGTCTATGTAGTCCACCAGGCCTCCAGGACCTTGGTAGTCATTGCCTGCATAGATGAGGAACTTCTTGCGGGTGTTTTCATCAATGAACGGACTCACCTAAGGGCAGAAGCAGATGTTGAGTAGTTGGAAATAACAGAATGTGTGTGATTGATGGTGGTTGTACACTAAGTTACTAGTTTGTAAATCTTGATGTTTGTTACCAGGAACATTTTCAGTCTAACCTATTTTTAAGGATATAGTTTGTATATATCATATTTTCTCTCGATGTAAGAACATATGGGTGAACCACACACTAGAAACACCTTTCAAATGTATAAAAAGTGGTACTGTAAGAAGACTAAGTATCCCTCCTCCTGGTTCTCACCAGTGTCCAGAGGACAGGGAAAACTCTTGGAGCCCTCAAGATAAGCAGCCGTCCCAGCGTCTCTGGGTAGTTGGCTTCCACAACCTCAATGATCCTCAGCAGTGCTTTGACGCCTGGTCGCCACAGGTGACGCATGTTCAGCCCCTCCAGATCTACCAGACACGTCCAACAGCTACAGAAGAGGAAGATAGAGGATTAAAGTGTGGATAAATGCGTGCCACGAACACACACAACTGGGCTAAAGCCTCTTTCCGACCACTTAGCACCTGTCATCCTGAAGTGAAGCTTAAGTGGTGAAGGCAACGCTTGCTAATTCTGGACCCCCTCCACATCCTCCCTTTCTCTCTATCTGTTCTGGCTGAAGGCTGTGACATGACAGGCCTTTCATAGTTCACATGCCTTCCTGCGTGGCTCCTATCGCAGCCACCTCCTCCTGTTTTTGAGAGGGCTGACAGATGACAGATACCATCTCCGTTCCCTCCCCCTCACTCTCTCCATCGCCATCTGAATCAGTGCAGCTCTGGGAAGAGCCTCCTGCATTCTTTGCGATTTTAGGGGAGAAAACGCTCCTCTGGACTCCCTCACGCTGTGTGTCTCTGTGTGTGCACCTGTTTCCAGGCTACAACTGCTGAACTCAATCCAGCTAGCTTGAATGCTGCCTGGTGGTGGAAAAAAAGAGCTTAATGCTGCTTTTTTCATGTTTTCTACAAAGACATTTAAAGCTTTTACTATATTTTTACTGAGAAATTTGTACTGATCTAGGGCTGCAACTGACCATTATTTTATTGATATACATTTATTGTTGAATAAATCAGCATTGTGAACTCTTTCTTCAGTATATTCTCTACATATTCACAGCTGAGTACACCACCCTATATTTCAATGCACATTTTGTATGAGCATGTGGAAATGCTGTCTGAAAATGAGATATAGGATATTCAGTTCAAAAGAGAAAAAAGCAAATGCACAAATTAGAGAATATGGAACTGAAGACGGTTAGCATTTTTGCTTGATAAATGATCAAACTAAATTGTAAAAATCTATGTAGCTTAAAAAAGTGATCATAACATAATTGTTATTAATCAGAGGGTTTACCTGATGGGTCGACCAAACACCTTGGTGTTCTCCTCACAGCGTCTCAGACCCTCCTCATTAATAGAAAGCACCTAAAATGACACAACATGAACTCAGTGGTCTGTTGCGATCTTACATTTCAAGCATTTAACTCCCACACACACAAGGCTATTTATGCTGTACTATATACATCCTGGTGTAAACACTTACTGACCTGTAATCCAACCATCAACTGGCTGACCTATAAAATGATCAACCTACACTAATACATGCCAGGTGGAAGTGTGTTGTGCTACATACGTGTCTCAGCAGAGATTCCTCTCCAAGAGCGCGGACCAGTCCTTTGGTGTCCATCTGGCCCAACCTCAGGATGTACAAAGGACGGCCATCTAGAAAAATAAAAAAAACATTTACATGATCTATCACATTATTTACAGTCTGGAAGGCTCCATATTCTGTTCTCCTGTTGTGTAAGACCATAAGTGGCTGTGTACACTGAAAAATGCTTTCATGTTTTGTCCCTGTTGATCGCATACAAATACTTGTGAAAAGATTGAAATGAGAAGAAAAACGGTTTATTGATGTGGGAACATAAAAGTCATTTAAATTTTATTTAAATTGTCAACACTCTGTTCTAAAATGAAGAATGTGACCATGTGTGAGTGTGTGTAAGATATTTGGGCAAGCAAGTAGTGCTGACAAATTGGCCTAATGTTTAATTCACTTGCATGGCTGAAGGCTGTGGGTTGCTAAGAATGACTTCAGTTCATGTGGTGAGTGAGTGTGTGTATGTAACTTGAGTCTGGAGAAACTGGAGAACTGAGCTCTTCCTCTAGCCAACAGTGCAAATATAGCCAGCTTTAACAAGGCCAACATAATGTATTTACATACATACGTGTATGTGTATTTACGTATGAATGCCCACGTGAGATTGTAGTATGTTTAAACTGTCTTTGAGTATGGCTGTTCATTTGTTTGTTCCTCACATGGAATGAACACACTTGTTCCCTCTGTCAGGACCTACCTCTGTCATGGTGGTGCCAGCCTCCAGTGTAGTAGTCCTGGAGAACCTGTGGTGAGCTCCAGGTCTCCAGCAGGTAGTCCACCTGGTGCTGCTTCCTCCAGGTCAGCGACTGGCAAAGGATCTCCCGCGCCTTGTCCATGTTGAAGTCCCTGGCGCGCAAGAAACGCAGTATGTGCTCATCCTTGGGGATCTGGACAGTAAGGGGAGATGGTTTTAGTACTTGAAAAATACAACAAAAGAAAAAAGCTTTAACACTGCCAGTGTCACTGTTACATAGATCATTGGTATCGCAAAACATGGCAGGTCAGTTTGCCATATCTGCATGTAAACAGCAACTTAAAGTATGACTCAAAATCTATGACAAATCTCCAGATAAAATAAATAAATTGATAAATTCAAATTGTTCATCATACCTAAAAAAATCTATTCTATTTCACTCCATTATGACAAAAACAGTAAAACAGAACATTACCTTTCCCTTGTGCGTCTCCTGCAACCATTTGCGAAGTCTGATTAGACAGCTCTCCTGCAGGGGGGTCAGGTCGCCTAGGTAACGTTTGATATAGTCTGCATCCAACTTATCTGCAATACAAAATTAGGAACCAATAGAATTAACATAATTTAGTCAAACACAAGGTAAATTGACTTTAGTGGAAGTTAATGTGTAAATGAATATGTGCTTCACACCCTTAATGAAACCAAAACCCCATATGTTGTCATTCCTGTGTCAATTCAAGATATACTAAAAATCACTTTAACCACAGTTTTATAGAATAACTTTAATAACTAAACAATGAGGCATTGCTTCCATTGCTTTTTCTGTAAAACACATACATTTTTTACTCTGTATTCTACTGTAACGTTAACAGTGCTACTTCAACGTTTGCACAAAGATTTTTACATGTGGAAAAACTGCTGGTTTTTCATTTTTCAATAATCTGTAGGAACAGACCTTCAGGTGTACCAGCCAGGATCTCTGTGAGGCTGTCTGCCTGAAGTGCGCTGCTGTCCTGCTTTGTGTCCTGAGAGGTGCTGTCATTGGCGTCGGTGGCCAGAGGGATAGAAACGGCGGGTGTGACTGTGAGTTTGGGGACAAGTGGTGGGCTGGTGGAGAGGCTGGTTGGCCTGGGAAGAGGCAGGGGAAGGGAGGAGGGAGTCCAGCGTGGCACATGAGTCATCCCTTCATCTTCTAGCTCCTTCAGGTAGAACTCAATGATTTCTTTTCCCTGTGAGGAACACAAGTGTACAAGAGTCAGAATTATGGCAAAGTAGCAGAAGAGGCTCTCAATTCAAGGAAATTCAATTTAAGAGGAATATGGACTTTACACCAACAATACTCATGATACTATATGTTCACAAAGCTAATCCAAACCATTTAGTATTTCCAACTTAAGTGTCGTGTAATGGAAACAAAGGAAGAAAATCAAAGGAATGCATTCAACATTGCCCACATCTATTCTAAATGAAGGCTGGTGACTCACTGGGTCCACAGTAGAAGACCCCTGTCCACTCAAAAAGATTATACAAGCTTATTTATGCAATTACAGCATGAGACAGGCTGACTGACTCATGCTCCAGAAACCTCCTTACACCAAACATCATGGAATAGATTAATATCAGTTCTGCATAATCCATACAGCACCCATTATGCTGCAGTCTGCAACTATTCATCTGCTGTGAACACAGGTTTCTGTGCATACACATAAAGTACAAAGGAACCATGTAACACACACACACACACACACACACACACACACACACACACACACACACACACACACACACACACACACACACACACACACACACACACCTTTTTGATACTGCTGGCATACTGTTTCATAGCAATCTTTTCCACAGTGCTCTCAAAGCCAAAGAAGGATTTGATGTCCAGGCTGGCGGTCTGCTCAAAACACGTCCAGTCCTCATTTTCCGGGTGAACCTGTACCAACACACACAAACACTTGCTGTATATTATACTGTATAAACATGCAGAAACAAGGTGACCAGGTTACTATGGTAACCACACACCCAGCTTCACTAGATGGTGACGCAGGCAGAGAGCAATTTTCACACTGTGCACTATGAGGGGGAGTATGTGTGTCAGTCTGTCCAGATAAAATTAGCCAGCTCTTCACATGAACAGTTTGGAGCTAAAAGAGGACAGAATGCAAACATACAAGGACACACATGTTTCTGGTGTTTGGTGTAAAGGTTATGAGAGGCAATGTTCAATAAACAACATCCAGAAAACTGGTTAAAATTAGAGCTGTGTATTGGCAAGAATCTGGTGAAACGATACATACCATTATGATTAACTGTAAGCGATACTGTAAGCTAGGCAAAATACTAGAGGTGTGAACTGTCACTGATCTCCCGATTCGATTACGATTATCATGTCAGCGATTCGATTTGGTTCCTCGATGCATCACGATGCTTCAAATACATTTTTCTATTAAAGCCATGTAGGATATTTGACTTGACGGAATGCATTAAGATACTGTATAGTTCAATATAATACAGCTTTCTATATTACTTCATATGGTTGTTTTCATCCAAAAATACAAGTAGTAAGATATAAACAATCTTTTATTTAACAGTCTGACACACACACACACACACACACACACACACACACACACACACACACACACACACACACACACACACACACACACACACACACACACACACACACACACACACACACACACACACACACACACACACACACACACACACACACACACACACACACACACACACACACACACACACACACACACACACACACACACACCATTGCTTCCGTCAGCTAAAAGGACAAGCGGCTGCAGATCATATCAGCTGTCGCTAATCTACGTTAATTGTGTGAGGAACTTGATGTCAAGCCAAAATTATAAATATCTGTTGTGGGATTGCGAGCTCTTTGCAGCCGGTGACTGTGCGCTCTCAGATTGTTATGAGGTATTATGAGTATCGCTCTGTAACACCACAGTACAACCATGAGTGGATTTTTAGTACTTTAACAAGTGATGGGTTCTTTCTCTAGTGGATAGCTTCATGTTATTTTCATTTCAGCATTTCACATTCTAACTAAACTTTTATTCATACCATATCAATAATTTAAGTCAACGTATAGTTTTGAGTCAGGATCAGTGTTTTGACCGAGGAAGGGTTAAAATAATGTGCGTCAGACTTAGTAGGTTACACCTTTAATTTCAATATGTCAGTTTAATTGACTTCTAGGTTAATATAAGTATCCAGTATCCAAGTATCCCAATATAAAACGACTTGACTTGAGATCAGGGCCAAAAAACTTGAACAGGACATCACAAATATTTTAATAACAAATTGTTTAACTCCATTTTGATTCAGGCTATAACATCATTAAATTAGGAAAGAAGTCAAGAGTTTAATGCTATCTGAAAGTACTGTGCTGGTAGCTTCATTACCCATGGCTACCAAAACATTTCAGCTTTAGCCAGGTCCATTAGCTGTGTCTAATTGAGCTGTCCGTCCTGGTTACTGTTAGCACAGTGTGCTAAAGCACACAATAAGAACCTCTGTGCAGCCTTGGTCCTAAAATTAGCTCTCTAGTTGGTTGGAGGCTAATACGATGTGCTTGACCTCATTAACTCAGAGCACATCCATTCATGAATATGCAGATCTGAAGTCAGAGTTAAGCACAGTGGGTCAGGCAGATAAGGGAAGACATGCTGGTTTCAGATCAGTATTTGAGAGTGTTCGGCCAGAATGTGCGAGGACTGAATATTTCACAGACAGAGATGGGCTAAGATAGCTAGCAACATTCTCAGTGCTAGTCTAAACATGGCTTTCTCTGCAGGGAACCAGGGAGGAGATTAGAGGAGGCACAAACATTAACATGGGTGTGCCATTCTGCAGCTGAACAGCTTTACAGACCGTGTGCGTGTTTGCTCGTTTGTCTGTGAGAATATAGATGTGTGGTTCTGTGTAACTTAATGGGTTGAGCACGTTATAAAAACTGCCAGGGTCAGGGTTTGATTTTCCCTCTAGAGCCATCTACAAATATACATGTTATAAGCTGCTTTGGGACAAATAAATGGCACAAGAGTGTGTGTATGCTACTGACCGAATAGCAGCAGGTCTCATGGATGATGACCCTGTTGGAGAAGGTCTCATTATGGGACTCGATGTGAAGTGTCCTCTCCTTTCGGTTCAGCGTGTTTTTCTGGATGAAGTAGACATAGTCCACACCTGCAATCTGCAAACCACACACACACAAACTCATCTTACGAGAAACCTAACTGACACAAGACACCAAAAGGTTGCAGCTTTATAAACCACTGTAGAGCTACATTTTAACACACTCATATGCCACATACCCTTTTGAGCAGGCGCGGGGCGTCAACATCCAGGGCACAGCGGCGCTCAACCCTTTGGGTGGAACCGTCCTCACTGGTCTCCTCATCCACCACGTCACTCGCCACAAACATGGGGATAAGGTGACAGGTGGGGAACCGGCGCTCATAGGCCTGAAAGAGGAAGGTGGACCAGAATTGTCACCCAATACAGTGGTTTTCAATCTGGGAAGATATCTTTTAGGTTTCAAGTTTCATTCTAACAAATGAAAGGAGGAAAAGAAAAGAGGTTTCACTAGCTGCAGTGTCATTAATCTCTCTACATGCTGTGCAGAGGACAGACAACAAAACTCTGACGGCAGTGCTTTCTTTATTAGAAGGGGAGTTATGTCTTTAGTGTATTAATGAAGGTAGTTGAACAGGCTTTAGATGAAGCAAGAGACAACCCTTTACACAATCAGATTTTTATTTTTATTTTTTTAGCCCTAGTAGGGCTCTGATATTTTCAGCATTTGGAAACAATTTTATTGAGAAAAGATATGCTGATGTTAATTTTAATAAATATAATTGAAAGGCTCAGGATAAATTCAGCTTAAAATACCACACAGCAACAATGGATCCTGTAATGCCAGCTTATATAAAACTCATCAAAATAAAGTTCACGTATTTATTTGGAATGCGAGTATTGAGCTAAGAGGGACTAAAGAATCTGAATAGGTGGGCCGAGAATGCAGCAAACAAGTGAGGCCGAACAAAAGCTCCTTCAACTTTGCACTGTTGCTAAACCTCAGCAAAAACAGCCTAGACTCCAATAAAGCCCTTTTAATACCTAAAATATGGCTTGATGCACAATAAGATTTGCTGTGCCCAAGGGCAACACCTTGTCTCCTAATCATGTGTTCTCATAATTCAAAACACTGGCTAACTCAGCTCTTGTGCAGAGACCAGCCAGCTGTTATGCAACTGGACCTTGACTGGCACAATGTCATCAGTAGCACCCATTTCTTCCTTTTCTCTATCGCCACGACTCTTTCATCTTGGATCTGATTGCGGTGGTTGCAAGAGTGGTAAGACTAAAACACGAGACTAGACACTAGACTATCAACAATAAACTGAGTGATTCACGATAATGTGCGCTGGAGATGGCCAAAGGTAGTCATAACACTGAGCTGAGACTTGTATCCTTGCTGCGTAACAGCATATTTCCTCATTCTTAATCTATGGGTGAATGAGGAAATGGACGAAAGATGATTAAAAAAAGGATCAGGGAAGTAGGGATGTAATGATACACTCAACTTAAAATTTGATACAGTCCCTGAAGTTGCATATCTACTTCATCATCATCATCAGGGAAATATACTGGAAACATACAGTAAGCCTGAGGGCAGAGACTGATGGAGCGAGTGTTGTTCACAAGACTTTTGGTGTCGGCTGAGTTAGTGTCAGCTGAGTCTTCTGATAACGGAGCTTTATTCTGTGAAGCATAGGGCAACCAGTGCGTCTTTAAGCTTATGTGAAAACCTGAAAACTGAAATCACCATGACAATAGACAGATCTTAAAATTCAACAATGCTGAACTTAAAGTGCAAGTTAGACATTTGAACAACTGGTCTATGTGCATATAACAGTCAATAAACTGTAAAATGTTCATCTTTAAAGGAAACACAAGAATAGGTTTAGACTGTTTAGTATGTTGATCAGCAGCAGCAGCTGCAGGTTTGTGTCTGAGTAGGCAGTCAGTAGGGTTCAGCAGCTCCTGGCATACCGCTGCCAGGGCTACTGAGCCACCCAGCTGCCCACTGTCCAGTTACTGAGTGAATGCTGAGCTCTGTTTTTCTACCCTGATTCTCTGGAACACTGGCCGCAGGCTTTGTACTGCCGTCAGCACAACAGCACTGACTGTAAACATCAGTTTCACCCATTAAAAACAACCATACGTCAACAACAAACTAAACCACAAATACTGCATGTCGTCAAAAACACCACTACTTTTCACTCAAACAATGGCCTACATACACTGTACAAAAACATCAGGTTACGTTATTATTATTATTATTATTATTATTATTGAGAAAGTAAACCACTAAGAGGAACAAAAAAATCCAATTAGAGCCTTGTTCTGCTTCATGAAAAAATGAACAAAAAGGCCAACGTTTGGCTGCCCTTTGTGTACTGAAAATAGCCTGGTTGTTTTAGTGTTAAAAACAGGAAACAGGAAGGTCACGATACCAGGTTCATTCTCAGACAGGGAATGTAAGGGCATACTGCTAGGCTACACGCGTTCATAATACACAGAGACCCAATCTGGTCACATCTAACTGACTTTTGTACTACATATAATACTAATAAGGACAGTGAACTGCTAGAATTGAAAATGTACTTACACTACTTACACTAATTGTGTTACCTCAGTCTTGGAATAAAACTAATAACTACACTAAGCAATTGGTGTACGAAGTGCTGGATTACAATAATGTCTCACATTTTCTTGGCCCTTGAACTTCAGCATTTGCTGCACAGTTTTCATAAGAACTTGTTTTAGGCAACAAACTTTGACACAAAGTCCATCCGGGATCTGTCAACTCACCTCCAACAGGATCTAGTCATCACGCTCTATTAAACCCTCCTTCAGACACACATCATGTTTTATGTAGTGTTCTGCAGGCATGACTCACAATACACAGCTACAGTAAATGCGAGTACAATAACACACCACAGTCGATATTCAGGTCATTTGGCATTTATCCACGTAATTACTCAAGTCTATACTGACCTACAATCTGATGTTGCAAATAGTTTGGAAGAGTATTCAACTAAAACATACTTTCATTATTTTCTCCTCTTTTTTTATCACAGAGACATTGTACTGATTACTTGGGGTATGGGATGCAGCCACAGAACCTGCTGATTAATCTATTGAATTCAACAATATATAATGGAGTCAACATTTCCAAATGTGTGCTGAAAATAAACAAAAAGCTATAGCTTAATACTAACAATGCTGTACACTTGACACCTTTGATTCACTTAATTCAACATCCAAACCAGATTTTCCCGGTAAATTCTCAGTAAGCAGCCAAAGCAGCAGTTTCATGACAAACATCCACCTGCCCTGTGGTCAGTCTCTGGGATAAAGAGCAGGCATTGATGACACATTAATGCAAACAGCCGTGGTAACCAAACTCCACCACAGTAAATATGCATTTGTCCTTGCCCTAAACTCTTTCCAAGAACGCTTCAGCACACTAAGACAAAACTAAATCCATCCAAATTTCCAGGCTAGCTGTGTATGTGTAAGAAAGCCTGCTAGAACATCGTCCTCCAGTCTCCATGGTGACAGGACATGTCCGGACACACCTCAACTAGCCAAGCAATGAGTAAAGGTTCCTGGAATTTGGCTGGAGATTTTATGTGCTTTCCAGGGATGCATGAGAGAAAATATAAAAAACAATACACGGTTACTTAATTCCTTCCTTCATACACAGAAAACATTTTCCATTTGGACAACAGGCAATGTGAATAAGGGCACGGGTATGGAAAACAAGACCTATTTTTCCCAGGAAGGGAGATTCCAGGATATCCAGGAGTTCCGAGGGGATATTTCAAGAGTACAAAGGGCTGCATGGTGCATGTATACGTGTAGAACGTACTACCGGGCAAGAAAACAAGAGTGCTGGCAGGCAGCCCGGCCATTATCTGGCTGGAACTTGTGGCATAAAAAAACAAACTTAAATATAGCTGCAAGCACGACACAAACAAATACAGGAAAAAGAGCTCTCTAGCACATACCAGTTTTTTCCTTAAGTAAAGTTTGAGTGCCATACCCCTGCAGTAATCACAGCTCAAGCTTCAGCAAATTAAGCACCTGACAATTCAAGTACAGCTGAAAATATTAGTCGATTAATTGATTAGTTGACTGAAATTAATCTGAAACTATCTTGATAATTAACATTTCAAACATTTTAATAAAAGAAATGCCAAACATTCTCAACTGTGTGGATTTGCTGCTTTTCTCTGTTTTATAGTTCTCAAACTTTTTCTGGCTTCCCCCACTTCAGAAGCCGAAAAAGTTCACGCCCACCCACCCCACAAGGATCCAAGTCATCCAGTAGTGGCTCTATACCCTCCAAGAGGGGCCCACCCTGCAGTTTGACAAACGCTGCTGTAAAGTGAATACCTTTGGCTTTGAGAGTGTTGCTCGCCCTGGCTCTGGGGAACTGCAATGGGAATTTTTTCCTAATTTCTGATGTTTAATAGACCATCTAATTAATCAAGGAAATGTGACAATAATCATTAGTTGCAGCCTAAAATTAAGGTAGTTCATCACATTGACTCCAATCCTGTCATAAAACAGTGTGTGCTTCTTGTTTTGCAACATTGCCTACAGTGATTGTGTATACCCGGAAATACAGAAGGGACAGCCCGGGATGAACAGTAAACAAATTGATATTGTCTCACAGTACGTTTGGTTAAATTGCCCTACCCTAATGTTGACACACTGAGAAAACCAATCCACAAACATCAATTATTTTCATACCATTAATACCAAAACAACCACAAAAATGAGCAGGTATGAGTCTGCAGTAGGTGTGTCACAAGTTGACCTGGTTTTGCTTTTGAGGATTCATAGCCAAACTGACTGAGAACATCTAGAGTCGATTAGCAGTATCACTTTATTCACCAACTATAATGAACGTGCTGTAACACTTCCTGGTAACAATGGTCATATTGATAGCCACAACACAGTAACAAGAAATATGGGCATACAAGATAAAGTGTGCCTGTGCTTTGCTGTAAATGTCACACAACCCATAACTCCACATTTACTGTATATACATTAGGTATTCTGTCACTGCACATTGAGGTGGCATGACAAATGACTGTGGTTAGAAAGGGGAGAGGAGTCCATTGCAATATGGTAGCAAGAAAGTTACTGCACATATGGAAAGTAGTAAGAAACACCCTCGCCCACTTCCATAGCTGTTATAACATAGCAACAGCTCTGATGCAATGTTTGTATCAACTGACAGCTGTTCACTATAAGTAGAGGGAGCCATGAGTAGCAAAAGACATGACCTGACTTAATGGTAAATGTTTTGGTTCATCAAGTTTTATACAACCTTCACACATTCCAATTACACAGCCAAAAAAAACTAAATGCCATAAGCACACAA